GCAGAACAAGATACAAAATAACTTTAAACCAGTGTTAACGAATCGTCTACAGTGCCAATTTCTATACAACGGTTTGACACACATGAGCTTTTGTTTACTTTCCTCTGGGCAGTTTTGCCGCCTTGGTCCTTGTGCAGCCTGTTACCAATATTGAATATCCGTTTTCTTCCCCTCTCTCCTCCAAAGATTTTTCAGAAATGTTTGGGATTCTTACTAATGCGTTGTAGGAAAAGCACTATACAACGGCCTGAAGTAATAGGATTTCTACTAAAAAGTGTGGCAAAAAACCGATCACGAGTACAGGAAATCAAATTCCTATACTCGGTTCGGATTTTTACTACACCGCATTGGCAAAAGAACGAAAAGCATAGGAATTTTCCAAATCATGTATAGGATAGTCATTTCCCATACCGAAGTTGGTACTTTTACCATACGACGGTGTAGTAGAAATGCCATTATTTTTTAGAGTGTGACCTACGCACAGAATCACCCGGTGACGATTTATTTTACTGATAATGGTAGTGGCACATAAACGTCGTCACTAGATAGGGTATGGATTAGGAATACAAAATAATCCTTGACAAAGGATACCTAAAATTTCGGTTTCTTTTATGAAGTGTCGTTAGTAGTAAAGGTGGCCGGGCACCTTTCCTACTGTCGTCAGCGGTAAAATCTTTGTAACACAGTGATTACAAACGTTGGATGCTGAACATGTTGATCTTAGTTAGTAAGTATATGAAGTGAAAGTCACAAAAAATTTAACATTGGAGATACGGAGATAAAATCCAGAAGTATCAATAGAGAAAATATTAAGGATCACTCTAAATGTCTTACGAAGAAATTTCCCATAATACGATGGTGGTTTTTCTTCATATTACGAAAGTTTTTCTTCGTATCTTACAACGAAAAAGCTAAGAAGATTCGCATTACGAAGAAATATCGCTTCGTTCACTGCAACATACAAATAACATAGGTCAAATTTCATCGTAAGACATTAAGAGTGGAGTAAGAAATTTAAAAGAGGATCATCACACGTCACCGTTTGGGTCACTGTCGATTTCAGGTAATGAAACTATAACTACAGTGTTGCTGTTAGAACACTTAACAAACTACTCATTAGAAACCTTATTTTTCTAAAACATTAGAAAATAGAACATTGATTTGTTTTAACGATTTGATTTGGTTTTGACATTCCATATACGCCTTATGCCACCCTGATCCATTCAGGCTTTAGGATCGAGGAGATACGGGAGATACAGAACGTGCTGAATAGCCAAAAATAGGAAAAGTGTAGTTTGGAGCGATTTGGGAGGTTTCCGGACGCCATCTTGGCCTCTAGGCCCCTAGCTTATGTGAGAACAGGTCATGCAAACTTACAATCTGGTTTATCTAGTCCAAGGAAGACCTTAGACACTCACAGAATCAGCAAATTACCGCAAAAATGGTCAAAATAAGCTGTTTTAAGCGATTTTTGACGTTGTCGGACGCCATCTTGGCCTGTTGGCCCCTAGCATATGTGACAACACGTCATGCAAACTTAAAATCTGGTTTATCTAGTCGAAGGAAGACCCAAAACAATCACAGAATCAGCAAATTGTCGCAAAAACGGTCAAAATGTGACGTTATAAGCGATTTTTGACGTTTTCGGACGCCATCTTCGCATTTGGGCCCCGAACACTCATGCCCATGGCTCTAAAATCTCCCATCGCGTTACTTGAATGGTAATCTAACTGAAAACCAACCAACAACTCGTGAGTGTGGGCTTCACAGCGCGTTAGAACTGCGATTCGGGCATTTTGGGCGCCATTTTGGCCGCCATCTTGGATTTAAGGGCTTAAATGAAAAAATCGAGCTTGGTAACCGGGCAATTCGTGTTCAGCGGGGTCGAATTAGTCTTAAACGGCCGGTTACCAATTTGTAGCACAAAACGCCGTTCGCATTGCAGATATCTGAAATGCTTCCCTGTCTAATATCCTCGACCGCCTCGTCCACGGCCTCTTCCAGACCCTCTAGGACGTCCACGGCCTCGTCCTCGTTGAACCGTCTGAGTTCCAGTACCAGAAGTACTCTGTTCACCCTCAGCTTGGTTTACTTCAACTTCACTTGTATCCTTTGATGTGGACTCGATCTCAGCCAAACGGACCTTTTTGGCTGGTCGCTCTCCATACAGCAGTAATCCTCTATTTAGGTTCTTTACAGCATCTGCCAACGTGTCGCTCTGTGCAAATGCCAGTCTTTCCGCCATGTGGCTATCTGCTAAGCCTTTGACGAAAGCTGTCACTAATGCTTCTTGTAGGTCTTCTTCATTGTGTGTGACCATGTATTTTCTTCCCACATGCTCGACTTGTAGAGCGAAATCTTCTAGCTTCTGATCTGGCCCTTGCTTCAACGTTTCAAAATCTCGCTTTCTCTGCCAAAGTGACGTTACAGCACTGAATGTTTTTGTCAAAAGAGCATCCAGTTCTTGAAACGTTGCTTCTTTTCCTTGCTGGTCTAGCATTGGCAAGACCATCAAAGCTTTTCCTCGTAGAGCTGTCACGAGCTTCTGACTCTTCTCTTCTTCTGTCATGTTCTTTGTAATCTTGTTGAACTGTGACCTCCACAGCGTATAGCAATGTTCTCCATCATATTCTGGGATTCTAGTACTCTCTGTAGTGGGTGCTGGGCGCTGTTGTTGTACACCCTGATTTTGTTGTTGCTGTTGTTGATGTTGTTGTATCTGCTGCTGCTGCGTGTTCAATATCTGAGTTAGGACATTAAAGAGAGGCTGCATTGCTTGTAGTCCTTGTTGGAATCCATGACCCAAGTCGTCGCCGTGCTCGCTTGCTTCCTCGTCTTCATCGTCGTCGTCGTCTGCTTCCTCGACGTGACGCTGGCGCAACTCTCTTGCTTGTCCTTGAGCAGCTCCGCGACCTCTGCCTCTGCCTCTACCGCGGCCTCTGCCCCTGCCACGTCCCCTTCCTCGGCCACGCCCTCGGCCGGCTTCTGGTGCTTCGGGTTCTCCTGCAGGCTGTACCTCTTGAACATCAAACCCTTCAAATCCGGGCAATCCGGGTCGGCCTGCGCGAGGCGGGACTATTCGAACTACCGCGTCGGGTTGCTGCGGCGGCTCGTTTTGAGCAGGACCAGCAGGGCCTGGTTGATCTTCGTCCATCGGATGCGGCAAAGGTCCCACGTGTGGATCGAAGAAGTCACGTGCTGGTTGTCTGAAAGGCTGCATAATACAGCGATGTCTTGAGAACTTGTGTTTTCTTTCTCGTGTACTTCCTGAAATTCCTTTGACCTAACGACGGTAACTAGCGCGAGCAAGCTCTGCTTTCAGTTCCGTCCACTCACTCCGTGTCTTAACAGCACGTTTTTTTACAAACTGCTTTCGTTAATCCACCTCTTTCAAGTTATCCGAACAGCTCTTGTGCTTACGTCTGAAACAGCGCACTCCTGAGTGGTTACGTTTCAAACAGCTCCAGGCTTACGTTCGTCTAACCCTCTCAAACTGTCAACTGATCAGCACAAATACTAGGCTTACGATCAGTCAACCCAATTGCTCAGAGAAGTGTAGGACTGCACAGACTGGTAGTGGCTTACGCTCCTCAAGGAAGCAGCACGACTATCCAGCCAGGCAATACCTCCTTACACCTCCTATAGACTACTCAATCACACAAATCGCTCGTCACACTCTCGTCCTCCTTCAAAAACGTAGGGAAAACCCACGCAATATCGCCAGTTTAACCGCTGTCACCACTTGTAGTGTAGGGCACTAATAGTGATGAGGAACGGATAAGTGACGAGAGAGAGTAGGGATTCACTGGTTTATTAGGGAGGTGCGTACAGACCGAGACCAGGCTACAGACTGTTGACCGGCGCTGAGGCGCGATCCAATTTATAGTTTGGGCAACAGTGACACCTTGCTTGGTGGGTGAGTTCAGAAAGAGGAGTATTGTAGGGCCTTGGCCAAGAGTGAGGGAAGCAAGCCAGAGGGGGGAAGAAGACAAGAAATAAAAATACTGACTGACACTTGTTTAACTCCTTTTTAAACCGTCAAATCTCTACATGTATCTCATGTAAAATTTATTCGATATGTTATTGAAAATATTTACTATATCATAGTAACGCTCTAAAATCAGTAAGCCGTAGAGTAAATTTTCTACAATATAGAAAAAATAATCAGTGAAGGTCTGAGAGTGCATTATTGGGTATCGTTTCTCAACAATTGGTTATGAAATACGTAGTAAATCTGCGATTATATGTAACACTGTATCCTTAAGTCGCAAAGAAAGTATCTGTAAGCTATGTACACCAAAACTCTTCAATTACGCACAAAAACACATGTATTACAAAATAAATTTCACTCGTATTTGGCTTGGTATTAGGGCTACAAAAAACTATACGTAACGTGCAAACGCCGAAGGTCCAGTTGACTTAATTCTGCGACACGGTGTAAAAATAAGACAGTTGTTTTCGGGACAAGATTTGACAGTTTAGAAATCATACCGTATAACATGTGATGTTTGTATTGTGAAAATAACATTTAGTAAAGTCATGAGCTCTATGACGAAACTTGTCCAGGAAACGGCTTCCCTATTTTCACCCCGTGTCCCACCCAAAATTACACCAACTGGCCATATCCTTGTTAATTGTAGTGCGTATAACGGATTAAGTGTTGCACTCTCAGACTCGTATTGACTTTTTTCTCACCATTATTGACTTTATGTCCTTTGCTTACGTAGTTTTTCAAACAGCAATAATATGTAGTATTTCCTTTGTAACCATGTATAATATTGTTCTTTATAAAGACTCAATTGTCATCAATTGTTGACTATTTCTGAAGTCAATTGCTTATTGACTCTTGGTCAATAGCAAATTGACTTTAAGCCAATATAACGAACGAAATCTTACATAGATATTGAGGAAATTGTACGTTTTATTGCTGTGTAAAATACTCTTTAACAAAGGACAAAAAGTCAATAACAGTCTGAGAGTGTGGTTACTTAGTACGTCACCTTGAACCTGAGCTTGCCGACGGGAGGCTCGGCGAACGGAATGCCCCAGAACGCGGCGTAGTCCCTGCTCTGCACTCCCTCGCGCAGCCCGGCGCTCTGCAGGCGCTTGCCGGTCAGGCTGCCCCGCGCGTGCGTGATGGTGGGGTCCTCGGGCAGCGCCAGGGCGACGGCGCCGAGCGCGGCCACCGCCAGGACGGCCAACAAGTGCGGCATGGCGGTCGATGAGCGTGCGTGCGGCGCGCACGGAATCCCGCGACGGACTGGCAGCGTTCTCTCACGCCGGCCATGACGGAGGCGGAAAACAGGGGCGGGCCGGGAGGGGGAGACACTTGCACAACGAACACTGCCGTATGATTAAGACTCACGCGAAGTGTCTGTCGCCTCGAGAGCGGTTACTTCCATGGTGCATCGCAGCGTGCCTCGGCTTCATGGGCAGGTGCCGCTTGCTGCCACGCGGAGTGGGTCCTTATCAGAACACATCACGTGCGCGTCTGATAGGCCGTTATCAGACTCGTATTTCGTGATTGAAGCATATTTGGAACATGTATAATACAGCCTATAGGCTCATTAGTTTCACCTTGACTTTAACTGACCTTAGTATCATGTATCAAGGTTTTTGGCGAATGTTTTTGACGTGACAAATCAGCTTTTTCGGTAAGCTTATAAACAATGTCATAATGTGTGAGTGCATGGACACTAACTGTTTGTGACGCGAAGGACCAGAGTATAGTTAAAGTGAATAGCTTCTCCAAATGAGCTGGTTGCAACGTGTTTCCTCATACTCTACACACTTAATGTCATGGGACTTTTTTGTCCCACGGTTTATGCAATTTTAAGCACATCCGGTAGTGATGCAATTTTGTGTCCGCCAGGCGGGACAAATTGTCTAGTGAAAGTACAAGTTGCAGCTGGCGCCGGACAAAATGTGTCACCAGACGGGAACAAAATTGTATCAGCGTCGGATGTGCTTAAAATTGCATAAACCGTGGGACAAAAAAAGTCCCATGACATTTAGTGTGTAAAGTAATAACTTCTGTTCTCTGGACAGAGAGATAACTTCAAAGAGGGAAAGCAAAAGGGATCCCTGCAGGACAGGAACGGGATCGTTTAAGTGTGTTTCAACACCGACGGGTTTCATATGTAATATCTTCGGAATGTAATTAGATAGGAACACTCTTGAAACCTTGCAAACCGATGTGTTTGTGAGCTTGCAGAGAGCCTCACTTGTTGGCAAAGCGAAGAACGCATCCGTATTGCAAATCAGTAGGTCGCAACTTGCGAAAAAGTGCTTCGCCATTTGATCCAGGAAGCGGAAGAAGGGAATAACTTGACTTATCCCCAAATTGAGTTTGTATTTTAATATTGTGCCTTAGAATGGTTTCCATCATTACACCAAATTATTTGACTGAATTCCAAGCAGTTTAGGAGAAAATCCACATGGAAAAAGGGTATGACTCAACTTAACCCCTTTTACGGTCTAAATTTGGAGATAACTCAACGGAAGTCCACATGAGTCCATTTGACAAATTGGCAAAAGGATATAACTCAACTTGTATTTTTATGAATCTTGTGTAAAAAGAATCACCTCAACTTAGTCCCCCCTTAATTTTAAATTTCAATTTGGAAAAGAGAGCTAAATCCCAAAAATACACCAGAGTAACATACACTTATGCAGACTATTGTTGCACTTGACTTGTCTCCAAATTCCTCTTTGTTTAGGAAATATAAGGTGAGCTGACTCTGTTTTCCATTTCAACGGAAAGCGATGAGTCGCAGAAATCCTCTACGGAGTGACCTTACACTTTTTATTTTTTTTCCAAAATTTTACTAATGCTTTTTGAAATTATTAACATGTGCAACATTCATTTGTTTTGTTTGACTTTTCCCTCCCAACAGTTTTTGGTTTCTCCTGGAAAATGGCCAAAATTGAGTTATCCCCTTCTTCCGCTTCCTGGATCATTTGCGAACAACCTGTTTGTATTGCGAACCCTTGCAAACACATTCTTCGCAAATTGCAAACTACTAGTTCGTAATACAATCAAGCCAAACTATTCGCAAGCTGCAAACCAAAAGGTTTGTAATGCGAACACATTCTTCGCAAGGTTTCGAGAGTGAAGATAATGCCTTCGCATAATCGCATAAGTTTCTAAATGTGTTGCAATAGCCGCAATTTCCTTGTTGCTAAAGTGGTGGCAAAGGTTCCGCGGAGAAGAGAGCGGTTGAAGGGGGTGGGGGAGGGGGGGCAGGGCCACGGCGAGGGTTATGTGGTGTGTAGTGTTCAACATGCGTTCTACACACATTTCTACCATCAAATACGCACATTTCGGAATTTTGACTGAATTTCGAACAAAAGAACATACACTGCAAATCCAAGTGTATGACAGGTCGACACTTTAAGGCGTAGACCAGTTTGTCCTACGCTTGCAAGTGTCGACCAGCTGTGACCGACGCCCTAAAGTGTCGACCACACTGTGCGCGACGCCTGCACTGCATGTGTAGCACACTGTTTGTCCTACGGCAAATTACACTGAGTTTCTTATTGTGGCCCAGGGGGCGGCAACGGCCTAGGAAGCGCGGATCACAAGCGTAGGATCACTTTTGCGGCATCCGGAAGCTTCTTTCGCAAGTTGAAGATGCGTCCCCCCTGCGTCGCCCTGCGCATTTGAGTAGTGCAACGGCGAAGCTGTTCCTGTTCGAGCTATGGTGGGAAAATTTAAACTTCTTTTTGAATTTTGGGCATATTTTAAGGTGTCTTCTTTCCAAATATGCCCGAGCCATCTCAAAAGTCGCATATTTAGTGGGAAAAATAGTGTACTACAATTCGCAAGGCAGAGATTCCGGCCAGTTCCTTTGCGAGTCCATTACCCCTTGTCTCATGATTAGGGCTAGTAGACTGCCCGATACTTCCAACTCAACCAAACACAAGGGCGGAATCATTTACATCAACATGGCGCATTCGAGTTTTTCTAAATTTTAAGATTTCTCGTGTTTTTTGGTGTTTTTACTGCACCTTAATATTAGGTCAGGGGGGAGTTTCGAGAAGAGCAATTAGCCTAATGCACCCTAAATTTCAAGTCCTTTCCATCGGTGCAAAGCGTTTTGAAAAGCACAGTCTAGTTTTCATAACCTCGAACAAGTGCGCAACCCCTGCATTGACGGCGCGAGCATCGCATCACGCTCTCCCTAGGCCGTTGCCACCCCCTGTGTGGCCCCACCACTTCAGCCATCGGACATGCTGTGGTCGACGCTTGCAGGCGTCGGACACAGTGTGGTCGACACTTCAGAGCGTCGGACACAACCGGTCAACACTTGCAAGCGTGGGACACTTGGATTTGCAGTGTAAAATCGAAGAAATTGAAAAAAGCGAAGCATAGGGTAAAGTGCCGAAAATGGATATGGGTAACAATCATGGATCATTTTTGTTAGCGAGCCCGTACCGCCAAACCAATCGACCAATTTCATGTATTCAAAGTTTTTCATGTAGTCTACACTTTTGACTGCTAGAATCACGCGCGGGGGATCGTTCAGTATAACCGTTACCCTTACAATACGCACATGAAAAAGTGGATCGGAAAAAGGGTCCGAAAACGACCTGTTTTCAGGTTAGGTTAGGAGTCAAAATTCAAAGCGTTATTTCAAAGAATCCATTCATCAGAAATGTCTCAATTTTTTTTCGAGGCACCTTCAGAGTGTACCCTTTTAAAATTTAGACGACCGGAAGTGATCGGACCGCCGCCCCTGTCAAAACGCGAGGGTGTGTGTGTGTGTGATCCATGTTTGGGTCAGACCCAAATATGGATCACCAAAATCAGTGAAAATTCAGAGCCCCGTAAATTTCATAGTATTTGTTATTCAATGTTCAGTTCTTGAGAAGAGGTTGTCTTTGTAGTAATCTCGGAGCGTATCGAAGAAAATTTGGGTCATCGCTTGTTTGAGCTGAAATACAGGACATTTCTAAAAAGTGATCCATGTTTGGTTACCTTACCCTAATAAGGGCCTAATAGGCTCATTTTGGCAGCATAATGAGAGCATATTGTACCGGATTTTAGGTGCATAATTCCAAAGCTAAAAGCACAACTTTCCAATCTATATATGTAATTGTGCAACTGGGCCAACTGCAATGTAATCATTTGATTTAAAGCTGATGTTTTCAACGATAATATCGTGACAATAGACCTCTTCGCCGCTCCCACGGTCCCCTCCCTGGACCGCCGTTGCCTAGCAACGCGAGCCAAACAAATCGCAGGTATGCTGCACACCGGACGGCGCGCGGCGGGTGGGTTTTTCGGCCATATTTCCCAGACCGTACAAGATAGACGTGTACCGTAAGCGAGCCGATTATAGATCTCTGCTTAAACTACAATCGGCTCGCTTACTATACCCATCTAGCTTTAACGGTTTACGAGATATGACCAAAATACGCATCCGTCGTGCGTCGCCTAGCAGGCAGCATACCTGAGATTTGTTTGGCTCGCGTTGAGGCGACGGTGGTCCAGGGAGGGGGACCGTGGGAGCGGCAAAGAGGTCTATAGTTGAATTGAGTTCCCATCATGACGTTGAGAGGCAATTTGCACCAAAATTAATGCTAATATGTGCCGCGATGACGGTACAAAAATTGTCTTTTTTTGATTTCACGCATGAGTTGACCCATTTAACACATTGAATAATTTGATTGCCTTTGATGCTACGATTTACCACCTACGTTTATTTTCACTTTTCTGATATAGCACAGAGGCAAGCATGCATGCAGCAACACTTTTCACCAAGTGTCACACTCATGAGCCGAGTGTCAACTGTTCGGCCAATTTTCCCCTTGACCATCCTTGTGCCGTGATTGTTGCGCCCTACAAGAAAAACAGATGTCACTCCACTGGTAAAACAAAGGCATAAAAAATTACGCCCTTTAGGGCATAAATACTCTTTTACGCCCTTGCAAGGGCATAAATCGTTTATGCCCTTGGAAAGGGCGTAAATGGTGTAGGAATTTCAAGCAAAATTTTAATGCCCTTCCCCAGTTGTGCCCTTTACGTGATAATTGTGCCCTGATCGTGCCCTGATCGTGATAATTGCCGAAGGCGGGCTCGTAGACCCCCCTTCCGACCAGACCTATCGAAAACCGCAATAAAATTTTTCAGTCGGTCGACCCCCTTTTTTCCAAGATCCAAGGCGCTCTTCCTACAGTGCCTTCCAAATTTGGAAACTCTAGCTCAACTCCCTCGACACAGACACAAAGGCAAATGCATAGGCCATACCCCCTATTTTTTGAATAGAAGGGCGGGCCAAAAACGCACCAACTTACACAAATTTGCAGGTGTTAAATCATGCCTCACTACGTACAAAATTAAGGCCAGGGACAGGTGAAAAAATGAAGAAGTTTGGTGAAATTGAATGAAATGAGTTCTGGGTGGAAAATGGTCCTTTGGACCTTCCTCTTTCAGGATCTGTCGGGACTTCGACTATCCGGGACCTGGAAGTGCTTAAAATACATCTTTTCGCACACTCCTGCATTTACGACACTTTAGTAAAATTGTCCGTTTTGCCATCAAGGGGGGAGGGGGGAGGGGGGTTCTAGCGAAAATCTTGCCATTTTTAAAATGAACCCCACTGTCATAATTTGTTGGGAATATGAAATCATACTTCAAAGAGACTAAGATTTGATTTTTGAAGGCATATGCTAGGTCTTGAACCCAGTCGAATTGTCTTTTTTGGACTGTTTTGGCTTTATTTAGCCGTATCTTGAACAATCCTCTTGCGCATACTATTTTGACGTAAAAGGCTTATCTTCACATTTTGCACTTCTTCGATTCATTTTAAAAAGATTCCAGCATGCCTAGTTCAAAATTTCCATTATATTAGTAATCACATGCTTTTTTCATCTAAGAAGTCACTAAAACTTGTCTATTTTGTACATTGTTGATCAATTTAAGTGAAATGCATGCTTTAGAAGCTTGCCAATGATAATGTAATGGACATTTTCAGTTGTGCATGCTGGGATCTTTTAAAAATGAATCGAAGAAGTGAAAAATATCCAGGTCAACCTTTTACGACAAAATAGTATGCGCAAGGAGATTTTTTTGGCTGAAAATCCATTAAAATCTGTCACCAAACTTTAAACGCCCTTTTCTCCGAAGACATTTTTTTTAACATTTGAATGGTCCTGTGCGCATACAGTTTGAAGTGTCGTCAATGATATTTTTTCCACTGACTCAGTAGGTTATTGCGAGGAAACGCAAGTGACAGTTTTTGTATATTCCACCCAGAAGTATGGTTTTGGATATCGGTTTTTACAAAAAAAGGGAAAATCTTTGGTTTTTGAAAAATGTCAAAATTGAAAAGTTGGTATTTTGCTATCAGTGCCGGAAACTAAAATCTGTCACTTGCGTTAGTTCTTTGGACTTAGACGAACAAAAAAATATGTCGGTCAGGTCAATAACCCAAAATGGGAAACGCACAGGAATTTTTTAACAAACACTTAAAAAATTATAAAAAAGCCTGTATCTCAGGAACCGCTTGATATTATGGGATGGGATTTTGGGTGAAATAGTTTATCATCAAGAGTAAGATTTTGACAGAAAATAAGAAGTTTTGGACCAGCAGTTTCTGAGATCATTTTTTCACCTGTCCCTGGCCTTAAACAAAATCATTCGGCGTGAAGCATGTGACGTCATATTCACTACCGTGAATTTTGTCACGTTTAAGTATTGTCACATTTGTTTGAATGTTGATCCATGTTGAAACAAATTTGACGTCTTACTTCAACAGCCGTGTTTTGTTTCACCAGCTCCTCATCAAGTTCCGTTTTAAAAGCACTTTCATCGTCAAAAAATTATTTACCTGCGATCCCATCATCATCAGCGGCCACAATCTCTGGATGGGAAACGGGTCTCGCCGTGCAGGCGGACATTAGGCCCACCGCCATGGCGATCAATGCCACGACCACGACTAGGCTGCAGGGAACAAATGTGTAAATAATCGGCCGCAATCGGCCGCCGTTGGGGCCATAATGGGACACTGAAAACTTGGGGAAAAATGGGACACTTTCTAATCTTGACGAGTTTTGGCATTTTAAAACGACCTACAATGACATGTTTGTGCTTTAAATGTTCATTGAGGTGTCTAGTATTCCATTTTTCATACGGCGCGACAATGACTGCTCATAGAAATGGGAGTTAAGAAATCAAGTAGAACATGGTAATTATGGGTTTTCTAAAGATTGGAAAAATTTGCCGCAGAGGTCATCTAATTAGAACACTACAGAACCCCCATAAACAGAAAAGTAAAGTATTATACTGTTTTGGAAAGCTAAAAGAACGAGGATTTCGATCCACCAACTCATTTTGACATCAATGCATTCGATAACTTGCAATTGTAGAATTTTGCGGTGGGGTAAGAATGGGCCACCACTTTGGGGAAGAATGGGGCACTCCTGGGGTAAAAATGGGACACTTGGTTATTGGTAAATTGAGGCCTTAGGGGAGAAAATTTTCAAAGTTGTTCGAATTGACATCTCTGAACGGGAATAGATTGGCCGCGACAATACAAACAAAAATATGTCAGCACATGCTATGGGTTTGGACGGATATTTAAAAAGTTAATGGGCTTTGAAATTAACAAATAGTCGCTAAAGGTCAAATTGCACCCAAGTTCTTTTGAAGCGCAATGCCTTTTCATTTTTCATCCGAACCTGTGGCATGTGATGACATTTATTGTTCCTCGTGTTGAGACGGATCGAATTTCATACAGTGGTGTCTAGTTGACAAACTTTGAGGCCTGTTTTACCACTGCTAAACCCCTGTCTCATTTTTACCCCAGCGTGTCCCATTCTTACCCCCAAACTTACAAGTCCGAATTTTCATAGTTTATTTTACACAACTTCAAAATTAAATCACTTTTTGATCTTATTTTAACGCCAAATGCACTGCGAGAAAAGATCACGGTAAATCCTGTACTGTATTACTCCAGACTTCACCGTACTTGTTTTAACAGGCAATGCCGTCGTTTTTTTACAGGCAATACCGTACTTTTTTTTACAGGAAACGCCGTACTTTTTTTACAGGGAATCCCGTACATTTTTCCCCGGCAATCCCGTACTTTTAATACCTATCAAAAACTGCTATAATTTTGTTCAGTCGGTTGACCCTCTTTTTCCAAGTTCCTGAAGTACGCAACTGCTGAAGTCGGACTCCTGGACCCCTCTTCCGACCACTCGTTGGAAAGGTCTTGACGAGACCTATTGAAAGGTGCAATAAAATTTTTCAGTCGGTCGACCCCTTTTTCAAGATCCTGATGTGGACACTTCTTGGAAGCGGCCTTTGTTGGGACCAGATCTTGTCTTTCCTACGGCATGCACTGCAAGAAAAAGTGTGAATAGTACAACAAATGTACAACAAAAACTGTACAATAAAAGTACACCAGGGATTGTAGAAAGTACAACGAGAATTGTACAAACCACAACGAGGCCTGGACTACACAGCACTCGTCATGCCGGTTCCATTGTACTTTGTACAACAATTGTTGTACTCTGAAAGTACAATAAAAACCTGATAAAAAATTTGCCAGAAATTTGTGTACTTTTTGTTGAGGCTTTTTCTTGCAGTGTGGACTGTACGGAAGAACGGTAACTACTGTTAAAAGACTACGGAATATTTTGTAAAACAAGTACGGTAAATACTGTAGACTGTACGGAGGATACTGGTTTTTGAAGAACGGTAAAGTTTGGCAAAAAAATTATCCAGGATTTACCGTCATTTTTTCTCAGAGTGTGGTGTGGAACAGAGTACCCTATCCTTTAAAAGCATTACTAACAACACTCCAACTCGCCATTGCAGAGTTGTGGAAACCTTATTATTCAAACTGTCCCATTATTACCCCAACTGACCCTAATCGGAAGAGTTTGAAAGACATAAGCGTCCCCAACAGCGTCAAGACAAGAAGGTATGCCGAGGTTGCCCGCACCAGCACCCAAGCAGAAGACATGCTTCACGATGCAGATCGATGGAGACCCAGCTAAGATTCTTGGTAATTTGATAAGATTCTTCATGAGTGAGAAATGATTCTTCGCAAATCCAGGAACACAAATCTCAAATCGACAGAGGTCCTTAAATTCACGATGACTCTTCGTTTTAACGAGCTACCGTATATTGGTAAATGAACAAAGGGGCCTTTGGCAACATTTTTGCCACAGGCGCTTCCGTTGGTTCCCCGTTTCTAACACACTCTGAAAAGCTTGCGAAGAAAAGTACTTTGCAGGATGAAGTGTTCTCCCGCTGTGTATAACGAACACCCTCATAGTCGTTTTTATGAGCATTGCGAAGAAATTGTTGCTAAGGCACAAAAAAGGAAGTGCGTGACGTTGCGAAGCAATGGTTTGTAACGTTGCAAAGCATTGTTTATATAATTTGCAGATCAAAACTTCGCAATGCAAAGAAATAAGTTTTCAAGAGATTTCGTAACACAAAGCCGCGGAAAATACTTAGCAAGGAGTTTTTGAGTGCAGTGTACTTGTTCTTCCACCGGCAGAAACCTCCTTATGTACTACCGGACTAGTGCGGACACGTGAGGCCATCCTGCGGCCACCATAGAACTCCAGGCAACGGCCAGAAACGGCCAGCTGGATGCGAAGACTCGGCTGGGGGCAGTGTGCCTGCCGTCTTCTGTGCGTGCGAAGGGTCCCTCCACTGCAATGGGATCGCGTGATGCGCAACAAAAATATTGAATGAGACTGGTAATGTATGTATGCGTAGGTGCATCAGCCATGAGCTGCTTTCGCGTATCCTCGTGGGTGGCACGCGCCGCCCGTCCAGTGGGGTGGTTGAGACCGGACCAAGTCTCCCTCCCTTCGTGCTGCCGTTTCGACGAGCAGAAGCGTACAGAGCGTCCCAGTCAGAACCTTCCCCAGCGAGGTGGTTCGCAGTTGCTGCTGCTGCGAGGTGACAGGGTGAGCACAAGGTGAGAGGGGGTAAAACGAGGTAACTTTTGTTCTGAAAGTGGATGTGGCTACCTCGGCAATGTCGCAAGATTTTTGAATTTTTCTCGGACACGGTTGAGTTGAAAGAGAAAAGGCTCTTAAGTTTAAAACCTTGTAAAATTCAATGAAAAAAAAAGGTTTTTCAAAGTTTTATATTTTTGGACTTTGGGACTTCGCGAATCTAAACACGTTTTAACTTTTAAACATGACACGAATTTCTTCACAGTCCGAAAGGTGGATTGAGGTGATATGTCCTCAGCATTTACGTTTTACCTCTCCGATTTAGATGAAAACCACCTCCACTGCGACGAATTCTGACCAGGAAAGACCAATTTTCCTCAAAGAATTTTCCTAAGTTTTCAAAAACCTTTATCCGTTGTCAGTTCAAACTAAAAACTTGAGCACAGAAAAAGGTTTTGATAAATTGACAGTAATTCGGTCACGGAATTTCTGGGAATGACTTATTTGGCCCCATAGTGAAGAGAGATGGGAAGAGCCTGATTCTGACAACATCGTCAAATTGGTGTGGTGCATGGTTTGAACAAAACTTTACCCACGTGATCATTAAAATTTATTGAGGGTTGAACAGGCCAAGCCACGGCCACAGCACTGCAGTGCCCGCTGCCACTTCGCTGTGCGATGTCGATGAGCGGAGACCTCGGCTTCTGGGTGTGGCTTTTGAGCAGAGACAAGCCGCGTGGAATAAGGCAGCGTCTTTTCGGTATCTGCGTCTGCAGTTGGGTAAAGACCTTCTCACGTGATAAGAAATCACTGCAAGAAAAAAAGTTGGAATGGACGAAGGCTCCTGTGTCAGCCAAAGAAAGTTCACGATAATTGATCCAGGAAGCGGAAGAAGGGAATAACTTGACTTATCCCCAAATTGAGTTTGTATTTTAATATTGTGCCTTAGAATGGTTTCCATCATTACACCAAATTATTTGACTGAATTCCAAGCAGTTTAGGAGAAAATCCACATGGAAAAAGGGTATGACTCAACTTAACCCCTTTTACGGTCTAAATTTCATTGGAAAATGGAGATAACTCAACGGAAGTCCACATGAGTCCGTTTGACAAATTGGCAAAAGGATATAACTCAACTTGTATTTTTATGAATCTTGTGTAAAAACAATCAACTCAACTTAGCCCCCCCTTAATTTTAAATTTCAATTTGGAAAAAAGAGCTAAGTCCAAAAAATACACCAGAGTAACAAACACTATATGCCCGTCCCTCCGTCATTTTTTTTTTACAAAAAATAAACGGGACGGGCCAAAAAACATCCTGTAAAAAGATAAGTCTTGACTGGGAGGCCAAGGTCCTGAAAGTGACTCAGACTTGGTTCGTGGGTTCGTGGTTCGTGGGTTCGGAGGGTTCGTGGGGTCCCCAGACTATTGTTCCACTTGACTTGTCTCCAAATTCCTCTTTGTTTAGGAAATATAAGGTGAGCTGACTCTGTTTTCCATTTCAACGGAAAGCGATAAGTCGCAGAAATCCTCTACGGAGTAACCTTACACTTTTTATTTTTTTTCCAAAATTTTACTAATGCTTTTTGAAATTATTAACATGTGCAACATTCATTTGTTTTGTTTGACTTTTCCCTCTTAACAGTTTTTGGTTTCTCCTGGAAAATGGCCAAAATTGAGTTATCCCCTTCTTCCGCTTCCTGGATCAATTATACGCAAATTTCAATTTTTTTGTGTGACATCTTTCATGAATTGACGAAGGACCTTCGCACGATGAATGTGTTAACGGAAAGTCTTCCAAAATCGCTTGAAAAAAGTACTCAAATGGCAGCAGACCAGAAAGTAATATTAAAATTTGTCGTCAAAACTAGCGATTTTCAAACTTTGAATCGTCACAGCGGCTGCGACTCAGTTAAACGTCATTTTCTTTTGGCGTGAACGTATGTTTTCTGCTGCCACTTCCCCGAGTTCTAGTTGTTAGGTCAGTGGGTTCATCAATATTAGCTTGTTCCACCAAACCACCCTGTTTTGCAGTTTGGAACCCTTATCAACCCCAGATTCGTGCACTGCAGGAAATAGCCACAGCAAAAGTACACAAATTTCTGACAAATTTTTTATCAAGAAATTAGTGTACTTTTCAAGTACAACAATTGTTGTACAAAGTACAATGGGACCGGCATGAGGAGTGCTGTGCAGTCCAGGGCTCGTTGTGGTTTGTAAAATTCTCATTGTACTTTCTACAATCCCTGTTGTACTTTTATTGTACAGTTTCTGTTGTACTTTTGTTGTACTATCTACACTTTTTCTTGCAGTGTGGCTCGCCCACTGCAAGAAAAAGCCACAACAAAAGTACACAAATTTCTGGCAAATTTTTTATCAGGTTTTTATTGTACTTTCAGAGTACAACAATTGTTGTACAACAATGGACGGAGGGACGGGCATATAGTATGATGCATGCTGTGCGTCCGTCCGTCCGTTCGTTCGTCCGAGGACTTCCCGTGGTCCGATCTTGATCAAATTTGGTATGCAGCCTCCTTGGGTGACCCTTAGAACCGCCCGGTGGCAGCAAATCCGATCCGAGCCCCTGGGGCGCTGCTGCAGGTGCATCATGGTCTACATGGGGTCGAGGAGGATCTCGGCAACGGATGCAGCTAGGAGGACATGTAGGGGTATTTTTGGAGTCGGGGCGACGAGAGAAAATCAATGGTGCCAGTTTCGAGCGAATCGGAGAAGTTCGGACCCGGGTTCAAATCCCAGCGGGGTTGTGTATGTTTTTTGAACATTCTTTCCATTCGAGTTTTTGCATTGTTTCTCATGTTTTTGAGGGTGCTGATGACGAAAATAACACCTATTTTGACCCCAGACTCAGGTTCAAACCCGTCAGGGTTAAACAAAGGCGAAATTCACACTGTTTAGGTACGGGACGGGCCAAAGTTGCCGATGTTTATCGCTACTTTTCCTGTTATTTTTAAACGAGACAACGGGACCGTTAGCAACACCTCAAGTGATGTGTGTTGATGGTGGCCACGACAGGTTCCCCCCATAATCGGAGCCGCCCTGAGCGCCATGACGGGAGCGGCGGCACTGCTCTCCAGCGACCTCGTGGCGGCGACGGGCCCCGCCAACATGTGCTGCGGCATCTACTCGTGCATCGGCGGCAGTTTCACCTTCTTCGCGAGGCGAGAACGCGTCCTGGTCATCTTGACGGACATGCGTGCCGTCGCCGTGGAGATCGAGATGAAAATCGACTCGCACCACGGAGTGCAGGTCAGCACGGTCAGAATTAACACAGCAGTTGCATCGACGACTGTTTCTCACTGTCAGACCTCTATGGACTTTTCTCTTTTGCTTATGACTTTTTTGAGCAAACGTAAAATGTACTATTTTCTCTTGAACTATGCACAATTTTGATCGTTTAAAGGATACAAGGTAGGTTTACGCCACACCGCGTCTTGTCGTAACAGGCTTCGCGATGTCTCGCGGCCTGTTCCTCCAATCCGCGCCTGGCGTACCTACCTTGGCCTGCGGCGCTAGCCTGCCTTCGGCAGACATTGGCTTGTCCATCGTCGGTTACTTCTTACGTGATGCATGCTGAGGGGCTCCGCCCCCCAGACTCCCCTTCATTCTAGAAAGAGTTGCTTCATCTACAGATAACACAATCTGGACCCTTGTCACTTTTTAACTTGTCGGGGCTGGGGGGCTCCGCCCCCCAGTCCTCCCTTTCTTCAAGGCAGAAGTGATCTGCCTGCAGAAAATTCGATTTTTCGCCGTTTTTTAGGTGTTTTTCGGCTGTAAAAACTGAACCAGTTGAGCTAGGATAGTGAAATTTCGCGTGTGCCGAGCCAAGAACATACCTAATAAGCCTGCAAAATCTCAGCCAGATCGGCCGAGCCGTTCAGGAGGAGTAGTGTACACACACACACAGACAGACACACAGACAGACAGGAAAAACTTTTCAACCCCACTGGAGTAACAGGCTTCGCTATCGCTCAGCCAATAATTGTCATTAGATCATGATGAAATAGGTACATTACAAAGGACATAAGGTTAAATGGACTAAATACATCATACAATGAACAAAACAGTGCATAGCCAAAGGGAAAAGAGTACATATTACGTTTGCACAAAAAAAATTTGTAGCAAGAGATAAAAAGTCAACTTCCTCGATGATGTCTGCATTCTTAAAGCGTTACGAAGTATTTTGAGCACATGTAAGGTACAAACAACTTAGTTTGTAATGTGAAGAAATAGTAAGAACCATTTTCTTTGTAACCTTAGGTGTATGCTCAAAATACTTCGTTATAGGAAGCTACTTCACTTCGTAAGGCTAAGATACTTTGTTAGGTTTTCAGAGTGAAATTTTCCTAAAATTGTCTCAAGTTAGCCCGGATTACGGTATAGGCGTTGCCAGTGCAAGACATTTGCCAGTGACTTAACAGCAAAAATTAAAGTAACACAACTTTAAGCTTTATTGAAGACAACTTTAATTTTTCTGCTAATATTTTCTCAACTTACGAAACAGTATTGTAGATTATCTATGTATCAGGAAGTCCATCTCTTGCTTAAGAGTAGGCCATGATTGAACGATAACCAAAATGTTATCATCGTTTCTTTTTCTCGCATGACCAGATGTTACTGGCGTCTTTACATCGCATTTATCACCGACTAGTATCAGTACAGGTCAGTGACTAAAATGCTTCGAGTGGAAAGGGGTGAATGATTCGTGAATTGCACACTCGCAGCACGTTACTGACTTCTCATTAATTACGTAAGCAACAATGATACTTAGTATTTTCTAGGTCGGATTAATTGCCTTCGTAAAATTATGTACAAAACCAAATTGTCAGTACATTATTTAAAATTTCCAAAATATTTCTTCAAAAAAGAAAAAAGTACGTATAATGATTGCACAAATTACTCGCATCAGTACTGGCAAAATGAGTAAAAAGTTAGTAATGTGTTGAAAGTGCAGGAGACCAACATTTATAATTGAATAAGGGAAAAATCAATTGATCCAGTAAAGCGGAAAAGGGAAATGACTCGACTCCTGTCAAAATAGAGTTGCAATACGAGTAAAGTCCTTCGAATACAGCAGGCTAACTACTTTTACATTCATGCTCAAAATAGCTCGTGTAGCTACACCTAACCTAACCTAACCCCCTTCTTAGAGCCACAAGTTAGAGTAACCTAACCTCACCTAACCTAACGACCTTTTCCTTTTGGAATCCAAATGAAAATGTAACATTAAGTCAATCGTTGACTTAGAGGACAAAGATCTAAAAAAAAGGAGTACAATAACTGACCATTTATTGATCAATTGTGTAATTTATGCAAAGAAGGTCAATAACTTACTTAAAAAAAAAACATTTGAAAAAAAACCGCACAAATTATCATGTTGGTTAGCACTTCTGTTAATATGAGTGCAAACCTTACCTCGTCTTTACGCCGCAGCCGTAGAATTGGTCAAGTTGAGTGCTCAAGTATGATGCAGTTGAAAAGAAGTTTAAGGTTGGGGGCAGCCACAACTGAAAGAATACTGCGATTTTAAAAAAGACTTCAGAAACAATCAGTTGGACTACCCCCTCCCATTTCAGTCATCGGGGGCGAGCCTTCAACTCCTCTGTGAACCTTCACAGAGGAGGCAATCTCTTTAGTGTGGCCAGCCTGCTCCTCCACTGCGCACGATGTCTCAACGACGATGTAACCAATCAAATTAAGGCTAATATACAACAGCTGACGAAATGACTGCAACAGAAAAATCAAACAAGTCCCGTCTGGAAATCACTTTCATTTCTTTGATTAGTTTCATTTTTGTCCTAAAGATATGTTACTTACTCGTTCTGTCAGCGACAAACAAACAATGTAGAAAAGTAAAAATGAAAATAACAAAGTACACATTTATCGAAGATGGATGTCAAAGTATGAAATTGAGGATAATGTACAGGAGCTGTCGACATGACTGCAAGAGAACAAAACAGTTCAAAAACTTACGAAGTGGAAAAACGTTAATGTAAAATAGTCTTTTATGTTATAATTTTTGTAACTTACTCGTAATGGCAGCAAAACTTTAAAAAAGGTAATTAAAGGTTGATTAAACGACCTTTTCCTTTTGGAATCCAAATGAAAATGTAACATTAAGTCAATCGTTGACTTAGAGGACAAAGATCTAATAAAAAGGAGTACAATAACTGACCATTTATTGAACAATTGTGTAATTTATGCAAAGAAGGTCAATAACTTACTAAAAAAAAACATTTGAAAAAAAAAAACCGCACAAATTATCATGTTGGTTAGCACTTCTGTTAATATGAGTGCAATTATATACAAAAGGGCCTTGCTTGCTTCTCCCTGGGCGCATAACTAACAGTGCTTAATGCAAGTTAATGCCCAACATACGGAGTATGTCAGGATTAACGATGTTAGCTGTCTTGAGGTCTCCTATTGTCTTTCCCCCGCACCGCTTGACTCTTCCTTGGAAGGCACCGTCGACAATCAGTATATGGAGATCTTCTAAACAGGTTGCCCTGCTCAGTGCCACATACAACATCCCGTGGTCCCATACAGATCTCAACAAGTACACTCCACACCTTAGCAGAGTTTGGCTTTGACCTTTGTGGATAGTGAGACCGTAGGCAAGTTTGACAGGAAACTGAACCCGAACAACAACAGACGGTTTCTTCACTTCATCATCAGTCAACCGAAGTCTTGGTAAAATCAATAGTTTGTCCTTCATTTTCCCTGTAAGCACCTGAACGGTGATTGTATGAACTCCAAGGGCAACAATCTTTCCACGAGTGCCATTGACAATACCACGAGACAGGCACAAATTAGTTGGAATAATGATCATAGCATTCAATTTTAAATGCAGCTCATGTGGAGGTAATGAGGAGCTCTCAATTTTTTGAGCCAATAAATCTGGCCTAGAAAAGTCCATGACTTCTTCTCCTTCGTCATCACGATTATTAATTTCTGATTCAGCCTGTCTTTCCCAGCTTGAGTGACCAAAATAAGTACTTAGAGGTCCAAAGATGAGTTCCAAAACCGCCAGATTAATCACACGGCATGCATGGTTTGTAGGAGTCAACACTCATGGTTTGTAGGAGTCAACACTGCTAGTCGGGGATTTTCAAAATCATTCCTGAAGACGGCATTAATCAATTTGTCTAGATTGAGATAGTTGTTAATTTTCCGGCGAGATGTTCCCTTTCCCAGGTACTGAGGTATAATAATGGTCTCAGGATTAACTTGATCATTTGCCTGTCCAGTGGCAACATTTCTCAAAAACTTAGCGAATTCGTGATCTCTGCGTGCTCTCTCATTTTGAATGAGAGGAAGTCTGATGAAGTTATTCCAGTTTCTGTTGCCAAGAACACACTCCGCAACTGGATCTTCATGACTCTCAACAATTGGAAGAATCTGTAGGAAATCGCCGCTCACAACGACCACTTTCCCTCCAAAAGAAGTGACTTTACCCAAGTTTTCATCCATCATGATATCCTGTAACAAAAGATCTGACAATAACAAGGCTCCAAAAACATTAAAAATGGCAACTCAAATGAAAATACTTACACATAGAACGTTGTCAATTACGTCTAGATGCCAACTCCGCATCATAGACACCTCATCAATACAGTGAAGGTCCGCTGCCCTCAACCGTGTAGCTCTTGCGGATTCCATCCCAATTGAACTGCGAGGCTCATCTTGTCGCCGGTGGAGCGGGATGCCATACCCAGTGTGGCACGTCGTTCCGTTTGGCAGAGGTTGAGCGGCGTTGCCACTAAACGCTGTACACACTGTGCTCTTTCCAAGACGTCTCATTTCTTCATCAAGTACTTGGTACAAAAATGTTTTTCCAGAACCAGCGGGGCCATCCAAGAAGAAGAGACGGAAGGGACACTCTGGATTATTGACGGATACCATGATCCGATCAAATGCTATCCTTTGCTCTGCATTAAGCATTCCGACTCTAGACGGAGGAATTGGCAATGCACGGCGAAAACGGTACCCGGTTTTCCCAGGAGCCCTACGGCGAAGACATAGGCGATTTCCAGGGTGTTCCTGGGAAAACCAGGAACCGCTTTTACCGTGTGGGTCATCTTCAACGAAGGTCGCACGGACTTTGGGAAGACCAGCAAAGTCATCATCTTCAGCAACTCCCCACAAATTTAACAGACCTCTGATTTCACCTAAGGCTTTCCTTTGCCTACTTTCGACAGAGCGCCCATCAATGTCATCTATCACGTAAGGCTTAATCAACTCCCACAGCTGATCACAATCAGAAGGTCTGTTGTAAAACAAGAGCATTGCAAATGCTAGCCGCCGAGAAGCACAGTCACCGACCTCACACATTTCACGAACCACTGGTTCGTGAAAGTCAGCTCTGAAGATCAGTCCGCGAGCCCTAGCTGCCTCCAAAAATGTAGGGTAAACGGAGCCATCCACAGTCCGCAAATGTTCCCAGCTGGCGGCTCCTTTCACATTTCCTAACAGCAGGTACAACGCGTAACGCTCAAAATTATGTGGACTTGGTTTAACTTCGAAAATGGACCCAATGGTCTTTGTAACATCGCCCTTGATCCATTTCCGCTGCTGTTTGTCAAAGATGAAATGTTTGGGAGTGTCGTGGTATGAAACATTCCTCATCTGAGCTGGCCGTTCGGTCACAAGATCAAAGTAGGCCTCCAGCATGCTCTTTAAAGGCCTATTCAATGCATCCTGCAAATCATCTATTTCTTCCCCTTCAATCAAGATCGGTCCATCATCTTCAAGATGAACCGGAAGAAGAACCACATTATGACTCATAAAAAAAGACTTGACAAATTGAGTCTTTGAATGCAGCATGCGAAAAGCAGCAGGGGCACAAATGTGACGATTGTCTCTCAGGTAATTAATTTCGTCCCAATCCATGGTTTCTTTTCCTGTAGCCTTTTCTTTAGCATAGGTTGTCATTGATGGTTTTCCCTTCCTATGTTTGCCAGTAAGGCATTGAGTGAAATACCTGTACAAAATATATTCGATTAAAAAATAAAATAAAAACAAGACAAGCACAGCACAAAAAGAACTCACCCAAACATGTACTTGAAAACACCATCAGTGGTAACTCTTTTTATACTCTGTGATGAGGGATCACGCACTAACAGGGCTGGATTATAATCCTCTATGTGCTCATTTGTAATTGTTCGGTTCGATGGCCGATGAAACGCCTCAGCACCCTTTCGACGTCTAGGAAACACACCATTTCTTCCCACGACGGTGTGCTCCTGCAGCTTCCGAGGGAACTTGAAAGCACAATCTCCGGTGGCGGTCTTCAAACGGCAAACTGCGTCTGGCCTTTCTTCACAAGGTTGGTGCACTTGGTGAGACAGGACCAGTTTCCTCATTTTTTCATCGGAAGGTAGTTCAGCAGAAATGACACTGTTCAGTTGTTCTGGAGTGAATGGAACGTCTTCTTCTTTCATAAAGAGGACTATATGCAAATGTGGCACAGCTAAATTGAAAGCAAAACAAGAGCTATTACATTTGTTATGTTGAAAATCATATTATACTTAGTTTAAAGCCTTTTTCATACTTACTGCTGTCGCGATCTTCGACCACACCAGTATACCCAACACATCTGCCTAAGACCTGCTTTTCCAGTATGTCGTCAAGAAAAGTATCAGTTCTGAGTTCAAAACTTCTGG